AGTTAGTAGGAAAACGTGATACATCCTTACTAATAAAAGCTCCTGCTTTCCTCGCTACGGTAAACAGTTGCAAATGCTTTTCTGCAGCCTGAAACTCAATTCCTGACAACACGGCAATAGAAACGCTGCGCTTAGCTCTTCGCAACTCTCTAAAACTAAAAGATATTTTTACCGCAAACCACCCAATCGGCCACTCCGCAAGCAAAGCGGAGCCCAGCACCGCTCCTGCCTTCGCCGAGCCACCGGGGCAGGCACCGCGCTCCCGGCCGGCACACCAGACCCTTCCCTCCCCGCCTCGGAGCTTCCCAACGCAGGGCTCCCTGCACACACAAAATAATTAAATCTTCAAACAGCTCACCCATAGCACCAATTAAAGAGACAATCTCATCTTTCATAGAATTTATTACTTTCAGTGCTGTTGCCACAGGTATCCAAGTTTGAATGTTGTTTAAAGCAGGCTTTCAAAGGGGATACAGACTCACCTACCTCCAGGGAAAACGCATTTACTTTGTTCAGTAGACTATAACTTAAAATTTGTTACATGCACCAGCTTGTAACTCTTTGAAAAACTCCCCGGTTAACCAGCTTCAAATGTATTTTATGAACTTCCCTCGATCAAAGCAATTCCCTCAACAATGAGCCTCATCTCACCATCTCGTTAGCAAAAAAAAAAAAAAAACAAAAAACATTGAACAAATTTTGGGGGTGGAAATCACAGCACAGACCAGGAGGGGACTCTCCCTTCCAAACCCACCTAAGAGATCCCAAGCAAGAAGGAAAAGATATTTAATGGCAAATTCACCCACTCAACAGGGAAGGAGAAAATAAATAAAAAAGCTATTTTTTTTTTTAGCAGAGCTTTTTTTTGTCGCAAGCAGAATCGTCTGTCGGCAGCAGACCTCCCGGGCTCCTGTTTCAATCGGACACGAAGCCGGCACCGCGCACCATTTCCGAAGCGGAGGGGAGATGGTCGCACACTCTCCGTATTAACCACGGATGCAAAGCGCTGCTCAGGAGCTGCTCCGGGAAATGCGTTACCTCGCACAACCATTTGCCTCGGTTTTATTTCCCTGCTCCGCAGAGCCTCGACTCATTTGCTAAAGCAAAGGAGCAGCCGGCATGCACTGACCCTGCCGAAAACTCGGTGGCCATGAGGCGAGAGCCCCGGCACGGCCCCATGCCGCAGCGGCAATGCCGCGGCCCGAGCTGGGAAGAGACAATGAAACTTCTTTGCCTCCTGCCACTCCTTCTGTCTTAGTATCAATTAAAAATGGTTATTTCCATGTGAAATTTAGCATGAGCGGTTTCCTGCTAGAGGCACAGTTTAATTAAGCGCGCTGGGAGGGAGCTCGTTTCTGATCAGATTAGTCATTTATGAACTATGACATGGGGGGGGGGATGGAGGATAGGGTTTTAAATGTTTTGCTACTGCAAATAATAAACAAACAGTTTGGCGAGAGGAAGATGAAACCGCAGCCTTCTAGGACCGGGACAATAGGCACATACTGAGCGTCCCGGCTAAAATAAAATACCAGTAGCAAATGACACGGCTTAACGCTGGAAAACACTAGTTGCAGCTCAAAGCCCCAGGAAGACCAACTTCCCCGCGGTGACCTATATGTGCTATAAATGCTGCAGACACGGTCGGCGTGACGTAAGCTCCATCCCAGTGACAATTGTTGGGTTTCGCCTTGCCAAGAAAACGCAAAACGGAGGTGCTGAATCGTCCATGCGGCGGGGTAGCTAAACCAGTTCCTCCCTGGTGCATTTAAGGACAGAAATGAGGGAAACAGTGGCAGAGCTTAAAATAAAACCAGGAGACAAATATAAAAACAAAGGGATCTCAAAGCTGGAGGGCTTGCATTAACACTTTGAATTTTCCAGGCCTGAGAGAGAAAAATGGGTTCCCCTTTGCGAAGGGGCCACTGGCACGAATGCCAGCAGCTTGGTCAGGGCAATTATTAATTGGGATTTGAAAAGGATTTGAACTTGGGGCAATTTTAGCACTGTGATTTTCTCGTAGCACTGTTTCAAATGACTGCGCTCCCTTATTTACCGGTTGGACTTTCGAAGCAATAATCTTATCTTGGCAAGTGGGGCATTTTGGTTGGCAGCCATCGGAGTCACTGCCTTGCTCCCTTCACTCCTAACTTTCCCTGGAGATGAAAGAACCTCCAGTTAATAGCTCCTCCAGAGTGGGGGGGAAAGCTATATACTGCCCCAGGATTTCTCCACGGAGGAGAGAGATGAAAAGCAGGAGGCCACAAATTCACACGTCCAAGGGTAGGCAGAAGCATGAAACACCAAGTTTTCTAGCACATAAGAAATCAGTTTATCATCTTGGGGTTACTACAATAACCCCAAATAACGAGCTACTGGCACTATGGTGCACACCACCCAGCTCAGACTTAAGCGAATTGTTTGCTCCTCCCTTCCAGGCAGAGGGACGGCAGCGGAGGGGAAACGCTGCGCTGTCCTTATCAGGGGTACGGGATGCCGATTGAACAGGAGCATCCGAAAAACATCAGGCACATTAAAGATGAAGCCTAGGCAAGAAGATTTAGGGAGCTAATCTCCAGGTCCAGATTATGGTGTGGCTGCGAAGCACTCTGCTCCCTCAGCAAGGCCAGGTCCCCAAATCCAAGGACCATCTGCTCTTCACCCTCTGACCACATCAGGGTTGCCGACGATTCGACTTTCAAATCAAATTTTGAGGTGGATGGCTGGTTATGCCTTTGGGGATGAACTAGTACCTGATTGTACCTTCGTGTCAATTAGTGAACTGAGGTAAACCAACATCAACAAACTACAAAAACAACCACTCGCCACTGTTTAGGCCCTACTTTAGACACCTTGAATCCTTCTAACAGACGCACTGCATCCCTGTGCACGGCACATCTCGTTAACGTCTTACTGCAGTTATTCACCCCACCAGTAAAAATCAATCATCAACCGTTCGGGACCAGAGAGAAGTCTTAAAACCGACATGCAAATGCAACATGCCCTTCGCTCTCCAAAGGTGAGGCCAAGGATGACTGGCCAAGGGCTAACTCCGCTCCTGGAGCAAAAGGTTTCCCCTAAACCAAGCCCCGAGCTGCATTTCAAACCCAGGATGCCCACGGCAGGACCAAAGAGCCCCGAGCCCAGGACAGCAGCGATTGTGCAACTGCCTTCAGTGCAGTTGTATAACACCAGTTCTCTGTTTTTATGAACTGCTCACAGCCAGACTCAAAAAGCAGCAGCCCAGAGGAAGGGTGGTGTCAACATTACCTTTCACTCACCCGAAAGAAAAGAACGGGGAGGTGGCGGGGGGAAGAATAAAAGATTTTATGTTGTTTCGGCTGCTGCACAGCCAAGCGGAGGGGGGTCCGGTCGCTGCGACCGGCTGAACTGCAGAGCCCCGCTCGCAGCCTCCCCTCGCTGGCCAGCACTATAAACCCAGCAGCCAAGCCAGCCTCTGAGCAGGAAACAAATTAAAGCGAGCTGCTCCATTACTATTCTCTCACCAGCATGTAGCACGTCTTTGGTGGATTATTTTAACAGCAGAAGTCGCATACAGGAACACTCGCTGGAGAAATCAGCTTCCATCTGGGTTAAACCAAGAGTTTTCTCCCCTCAAATTTCCTTCAGCACCCACTCAACAGCTTCCCTCCCTCTAAAAATGTTTGCTCAAAACCATCTTGACATGCAGCTAAACAGTCCGATCTGAAAGCATTAAATTTCCCCTGGTCAACAAGGGCAGGAGCAGGGCAGGACAGAGTACATCTCTCCTGTCCAGCTTCTGCAGGTTTCCCCAAGAGCTGCCCCACAACACGCCGTGGCATCAAAGCTGCAATCCAAAAATCCCACCCTAGTCTCCGGGATGCTTCCCAGTGTCAGGGCACGGCCATTCCACATGGCCAGGAGTTTCCCCGGACAGCTCAAGTCGGTCCAGGGAAGAGATGGTCAAGTTTTAACTATCCACAAAGCATCAGGGTGTTTCAGCGAGAAGGGCAAATTAACCAAACTTCCTGCATGCCAGAGGCCGCAGCGAGCCCTGCACAGAGCGGCTTCCCCGGGCATCAAAAGCCTGGCATGGCACCATACCATCCAACCAGCCGGGGAATTCTCCGCTTCAGCCTCAAATTAACCAGCACCGCATTTTCCAATCAGACATCTAAAGCGTCTCCTATCGCAGCCGGATCACCAACCCGCTCCTCCCCACAGACGCCCTGCTCCCAAAACCCTTTGATGTTGGCACCCCTGGCCCCTCCTCGGCATCCTGGCCGGCAGAGATGCAGACACTCGGCGCTTCTGGGGAGCTGGGCCAGCTGCTGGCTTTGGGGGCACTGCAGCAAGGCGGGACAGGCGAGGCTCTGCTCGACAGCACCCCAAAACCGCAGCGGGGTCCAGCTTGGAGGCTGGTGAAGCAGCTCCAGACACCCTTGCTGCTCACCTCCCCCGGGCAACCATCCTGCCTGGAAGCATCTGGCCAGGAGGGTTTTGCAAAGGCCTCTTTGGGAATGCTGAGATCCCACCCAACAGCAGGGAGCTGCTGGAGGGGCTGAATGGAGCAGACACCCAAATTGCACCAGAGTTTCCCTTCTGGGCAGCTGTGCCCCAGGAATTAACCACCATCACCGTTGTCTTCTCGGTGACGTACAGTAAAAGTCTTCCAGAGCGTGCGTCTGCAGACACATGTTTGTCTAAGCAGCTTAAGAGAACAGCATTGACTGTCTGCTCTCAGGCTGCTTCAATCAGAGAGGCGAGACAACAACCTTCAGCTCAGGTAATTGACTTCTTAATTGGAGACAGATCGGCAAGAGCAGCTTTGCCTACCCACAGACACATGGAGCAACAAGAAAATCATCCAGAGAAATAGTAGCAGACCACCAGCAGAAAAATACGTAACACAGAACTACAGAACCCCCTCCTTTTGGGTCTCTGGAAGCAAACACAAATTTATTGCAAGAAACCTTACGGTGTTAAGAAAAAAGAAAAAAAAAAAAAGATGACAGTACCTGATCCTCCAAACTGAGTGCTCGCTAGGGTCGTGGGTCTGTTTTTTCCATTAGCCACTGGCAGGGGAAACATCTAGAAAAACAAGAAGACGAGAGAGAAGGGAAGAGAAAAGAGATTTCAGTATGTTAGTTTTACTGTGCTGCTGCAAAGGGGGTCAGATTGGGCAGGCAGGGGGGAGGAAAGGGGGAAGAGAAGCACTTTATTGATGCAAAAAACTTTCCTTGTGTCCCTGCTACATAGATCAGCTGCAGGAGGGACAGGAGAGCAGCGCAGCTGTGCGCTAATATACCCACACATTGCTACGTGCATAAACTTCTCCTGCGTACACAGTGTGTCTGGTTCCTTAGGTGCAACTGAAAACCATCCAAGAAGCATCATTGCTGTGGTCAAAACCAACGCTTTCTTCCCCAACGTATTCACCAAGGTCCAGACTAGAGGGTGTCCATGCGGCCATGCAGAAAGGCTGACTCCATTCATAAAAAGCTAGCAGGAAAACAACAGCACCTCGCAAAGCTCGTTTTATCCCTCAACACCCCAGAACCTGCAGCGGTCCGGGTCTCATCCTGCATCTCCCGTGCTCCCAGACCCGTCTCCAGCAACACGCAGAGCCTGGGGAGGATGCGGGCTGCCCGCGGGCTCCAGCTGGCACGGGCAGAGATGACGAAGCCGCACGCTCCAGCGATGCTCGACCTCGGTGCGGGAAGCCTCACACCAGCTCTCAGAGGGAAGAACCCTCCAGCCTTGCGGAGCAGCTCCCATCCGTGCTACTTCGGGGGCTCCGGGAGCTAACACAGCCCTGGGATCCAGTGGGAGAAGCTGTGCCAAGGGCAAAGGTATTCAACTCACGATTAGAAAGATTAACGTATTTTACAGCATCGGTCATTCTGGCTGCTTGTTTGCTGTACTGCTGTGGCTTCAGTATCACAACTAATCTTCTCCTGCCAGAGAGCTTCCTCAAAAATACTGCATACCTCGTGGGCTAACCTGTATAAATATTTTTAATATAAGTTGGGAGGGTTTCAGAAGCTGTTATTTAAAAATTTATATGCACCTGCGTGCAGCAGAAAACTAATTCTTCTCCACACAAATGGAGCTTCAGCCAATAAAACAACTGGTGGGAAAACGCTTAGTGAATTAACATTTTAATATCCTTTTAGTACTCAACTCAAGATACTTTCACCACCAAGTCATTTGAATTTTTATTATTTTTAGCTTTGCAATGTCTGAGTAACTCAAAAGTTTAAAGCTTTGAAGATTAAACAATGTAATGGCACAAGAGCCTACAGAAATGCAGCATTTCATGCCCTGACATAGCTGATGTCTGGCTGTGGTCAGAAACATTCCTTTGTACAAAACCGTCTGCCCAGCTTTGTTTTCACAAACGCTGGGGAGGGAGGGAAAAAAAAAAAAAAACCAACACACAACCAAAAACCCAACAGTTAAATGCGGTAGAGATGCAAAGAGAGCAGTTAAGAAACCAACTGCCATTCAAAAAAAAGAACGTAAAACTGAGATCATATATAAGTACGCACAGATGCACACCACGTCTATGTTACAGATATGCATTTAAATAAAGGTGTAAACAGGGTGTAAGCGTGCAGCCCGCGTGGGGACAACCCCTCCCCGCCTGCAGACACCTGCCTTCCCACGGCTTCGCCCCGGCCAGACCCCCCCTCTCCCGACACCCTCCATGCAGCCCTGCAGGGAGAGCCCCTGGCCACGCACCGCTGGGGGGGCTCCTGCTGCAACCCCCCCAGGAACCTGCCGCCCACCGGCGATGGGCTCCCAAGTCACTTGGGGTGGACCGGCACAGCCCCGCCATCGAATACGCCTTGTTTCCTCAGGAAGTTGGGCTAGAAAACAAAAACAAACCCTGACGACACCAAAAGATTTGCAACCAACCTTCCTCTGCAATGCTACAGGTTTTTCCTGCCCCCACCGCCTTGCAGGGTACTGGGGGTTTTATCTGCAAAGATGGTTAAAATTACTAAAAATGGAATTTACGCAGCTGATCCCACCCGGTCTGTGCTCACTCCCTCCTCTTAAGGTAGGGAAGAGGATTAAGCGAAGTGGTTAGAAACCCCCTTTCGAAGTGGCGAGCACTGCATGTGCGAGCGGGGCGGGGGGGGGGGGGGGGGGGGGATGCATGAACATGATGGCACCGAGCAGCAAAAAGCAACCAAAAAAAACCCAACAACAACAACAAAGCACCCCGCTGGCTCTTTTTCATGAGCGTTTCTGCTTAATACTTGCTGATGCTAAAAACCCCAAGGTTTGAGCAGCAAACACCAGTGGAGAAAATGAACAGCCTTGTTCCATTGTGCAACGAGTGCTCTCTACTTCTGCACAAGAGGTGGGGGGGTCCCCCCCTCCCTGCCACCCACACCCCTGCACCCTGGGGGATGCCCTCCCCATCTCTCCCCCCTTCACCAGCCTCCTTCAAGAGGTATTTTGAGTCTGATGCAACACCTTCCTGCTCTCCCTCCCCAAGGGATTAAGGACTCACGGACCCCTTTCCGTATCAAGGCAAGTGGGGATGCTAAAAAGGGGTGACGCCAGAGAGGGGGGAACTCCGGGTTACCCCTCGCCTCGATACAGGCTCCAAACACCCTTATCGCTTGCCAACTCCAGGAAGTCTTTCGGGTTTGTTTTTTTTTTGTTGTTTTTTTTTTTTTTCTCTCTTGCTGCCAGCTTGTTTTTCCACCGTGGTGTGGGTTGAAGTTGACGGGGTACGCTGTCTCGAGGAGCCCAGCACAAGTCATACGTGAAGTGCCGGCTGCCTTCGCTGGTCTATGTCACTCACCGGCAAAGTTCACCCACTCACTGCAAATTTCCTTTCTGCTTTTCAATGTTGCTTTAAAAATAAACGGAGAGGGGGGTAGGGAGGAGATGAACCGGAGCTGGCACCTACGGAGCTGGCACCTACGGAGCTGGCACCTACGGAGGGAACCCAGGCATGGAGGAAGGACCCAGGCATGAGCGTAATGGGGTCATTACTTGGCCTATGTTGGATTTGAATAATGTAGATTTAAACGGTTATGTAAAATCCCCCATCTTAAGTCGCTGTATTTGGTTTCTCAAGTCCTATCTCCAGCCTCCCTGACAGCTGACAACTTCTGCATACCCTCATAGCTCACCTGCCACCTCTCTCAAAGATTTTATTCTCCCTTCATTTCTCCCAGGTTAAAAGATGCAAATCCAGCGTATGGGAAGATCCAAACGCCCGCACCCGCTACCGCGGAGGTTATAGCTAAGAGATCCCACACTTCCAATAGCGAACTCGTAAGTGAGAAAGGGAATTTGCCAGACACAAGTAACAATATCAGGCAGCATCTAATTTATTGTGGACTTCTACCAGCGCATCAGTGTTTTCAAATTAAATAGCTGTTTTCACTTTCTCCACTCTTCCACCTTATGAACTCCAGGCTGAATCAACCTCAGGCCTGAACTCAAAACCTGAAATCTATTTTGCAGCGTGGAAAGTATCCAGCCGTTAATTCGGGGAGAAGAGGGAATTTGACTCAATAAACATTGCCAGCAGGATATTTTATACGTGTTCATTTCAGACAGACCTTCCTGACTACAGCCCCAAACGCCCACTGCGATGTAAAGTCAAACTTCCCAACTGCTTCGCTCTAAACAAAAAAACAACAACAAAAAAGAGTTTTATCATGGAAACACAGGCACTGTGCCTTGGCCAGAGCAGGGCACAGCTTCGGCATCCTCCAGCACATCAGAAGCAGCAGCGGCGAGCTTGCCGCTAACAGTTTGGCTTTCACCCCCATTTCGATGGCTGGAGCCACGAGGGCTGGCACGAAACGAGAGCAGTCGCTTGCAGAGAAATCAGATGGCAGGTCCTGTGTGACTGCTCAAGCCCCTGCCCACCCTGCAACGTCTCATCGAGCTAGAAACCCACCCTGACAACTCACATCCCCGCAGCATATGGTTAATACTCTGCTAATAATCATGGCTGTTAACAGCATTTCACTTCTGCCAGAGACCTAGGCTGGCACACAGCCGCCTGCCTCTATCTCGCTTGGCAGGCGTGCTCCACGGCACAGACAGACCCCCAACCCCACCCCACGTGCCCAACCGGGCTCCTCCGTCCCGGCCCTCCCCATGCCGTGGGGTGCCCCTGCCCTCCAAGTACCCCAGTCCGGCCGAGATACCTGCCTGCACCTTCCCACCAAACACCGACACCACGGCACAGCCAAGACGGGATATAACCACAGCGAGTCCTCACAGCCGAGCATCTCCCAACGGCACAGACCGGGCACAGCCTGTGCCCCCAGGCCGAGCTGCAAGGCCTGGCAACCACAGACCAAACGATAACGCACCAAAACCCATGCCTAATAAATAGGTTAGGCCAGCAAGGCGACTCTATAGACCGGATGATTTCTCGAAAGCTCTCCTCCAGATCTGCAAGCCCGTCCTGGATTACTGCCAGGGAGCGGTGGTGAAAGCAAGCTTACAAATTACCTGTACTTTGGGGCAATTATAAAAGGCAATTTGTTCAGAGGTAGAGGTAAGCACGCTGCCGTGCACACCCCAAAGCAGCGATCAGACTACATAGCAGGGTGTTTGGCTCCGGCACGTTATAGATACCTTTGATTTTCACCCTTATCGGCAAATGACACTGGCATAACGCTTTGGGCGAGCACATTGCAGCTCAATAACTACCCAACGTATTCATTTATGAAAGAAGGCACGAGTCTTTCTTTCCAGGACCTCAGCATCTCGCACAACCCTGTCATTTACTGACCCCACAAACTCACGTCTGACTGTACAACCCCGTTAGGGTCAGATTTTAAAATTCACTCGCTGCACAGCAAAACACAGCACAGAGCTGGCCCACAGACTCCTGGGGTTGAACATATTTTCCCTAGAAAAATGGGATCAAAATACTGATCTGAAGCAAATGCTTCCAGCTGCTCTGAATCTCTCTCTCTAGTCTTCCCTCCCATCTACTCCCTTGAAGAGGATGAGTGGACTGATGCGCCACTCCCGCTTATTCAAAGAAAAATATAAATATACTTGAAAGAGCGAGCTTTGCGGACAAAAAGCCTGCATCCTCACGACACAGGGAGAGTAACCCCTCTTCGACAGATCCACACTGCGCACAGCAAGCTTGCGACGCCAGAGCGAAGACCGTCTACTAGCTAGGAAGCTTTTCATTTTAGCGACTCATCCTTCAGGAGAGATGTTCATATTCCCTTTATGCAAACTCAGGAGACGGGTGTGCAGAGATGAGGGTTTGTGAAACAGATCTGGCTTCAATCCAGATGGCGTCGGAGCCCATCGGCCAACTTATCCTGGAGGGAATGTCTTTGAATCATTTGCTGGCAAATGACATTTGCAGGCCCTGATCCTGCAAGCAGCCGCCCCCGGTGCCGCTGTTGACCACATGAGCTTTACACGAACACAGAACAAGTTCTGGTCGTTCCCAGGTTTACACCAGCGTAAGAGCACTGGAATCGAACCCAAATTCAACCATTAGGTGTAGATTAATCTCCAAGGACAGAAACATCCATTCACAGAGGGAACAGGTCAGGACCCCTCCAGCGAATACAACTCCGAGCATGCAAACGAGGATGGTTCGTTAAGTCTTGGGGTTTTTTTAAAGCTCTAAATGGTGAGTGGGATTTGATTATTTTATTTTTTTTTCCCTAAGAGGGAGCAAAAGCAAAGCGGGAGCGACTGCCACCCAGCCAGGGAGCAGGTGATGGGTTACTGACCCAAAGTGCAGTTCAAAACCAGGCACTCTCTGGTGCAGAAGAGGGAAAGCGCCAGGGCTCCTGCCAACCCGCAGGACCTCTGAGATGAGAGGGACAACCAACCACACACCGCTCCCCAGCAAGCCCTGAACAGATTCCTGTTTTTAAACGCGTACCGTCACTGCAGTCCCCTCTACCAACCATAAAACATACCACTGTAAAAATACATCGCTGGTAACTTAACCAGTCTCCCAACAAAAGCATGAAACTGGGAGAACTGGGCCTCGCCTCCTGCAGAGGAATCTCTTTGGGGGACTGAGAGACCCCATCACTGATCCCCCCCGCCTCTAGCACAGAGCCCTGCCGGGACAGGTACAAGCCCCAGCTGTACAAAAAGCTTTATTTCCCATTGCTAAACCTCAGCGCTCGGGTGCAGAAAAGCAGCCAAGCCACAGCACTTCCCACAGACGTAAGTGGTACCAGGAGAGCAGGTACCCTGAGTTCTGCCACCACTTTTCCCCTTTTACTCCCTTCTTCAACGGACCAGAAAATCGGCCCAGCGGGGCCATGGGTTGGGCAACCCAGGACAGCCCAGAGCCGCAGCAGCAACACTCACGGTTATTCCTCCTCGTGGAGCTGGGTTATTTTCTATCTTCGCAGCACATTCGCTTATCTAAAAAGCAAGACGCACGCTCCCAGTGCCATGAGGGTGCAGCACACAACAGAGGAACCCAACAGTAAGTTCTTTTCTTTTGAACACAAGCTCTCCCTTCCCCGAGTCACCTGCCAACGACAGCCAGCACCGGTGCGGCAAGCGCGCAGCGTGGCACGTCGCCAACGCCGGACGGCAGCACAGACGGACGTGCCAGGGACTGACCCTCACTCTGCTACCACTAGAAGGGACTTCTCCTCCCTCCGAGCTGTGCAAACCCTTGTGGGGGGAACTCTTAGGTCCCGTTTCTTTGAAAAATAAACAGCTCCTAAATGCAGTTAAAGGTTTCCAGGATACAGAAGAGCACAGCGTGGGGAACGCAAGTGTCCAACTCCTGCAAAAATAATGTGCTGGAGAGCTTGGACACGTTTCAAATTGTGACAAAATAACCTGTGGGAGCAAAAGTTTAATAGTCTGGATCTGGGGAGAGGAAAAAAAAGCTCGATTAATCAGCTACTGAAGTTACATCCTTGCACGGCTTCAGAAACAGTCACCCAACCCGTTTCGCAGCGAGCGTTTCAACAGAGAATACACAACTCCGTTACATTTCCCCATCCAAAAAAAAAAACCCACCCCACCTCTCTGCGCTCCCTACAAGGAAACAATATACACTTGACGGGAAGAGGGGTGCGGGGGGGGAAGAGGAGGGGCAGAGGCTTTGCTTTAACTTGAAAATAAACAAGTTGCAGCACATGTGCATGCACACAAACACAGCACATCTGAAACCCATCACGTCCAATTTACAGGCTCGCATTTCCTCCCTT